TTTGTTTTACTGTACTACTGTTGTGCAGGCCTTCGGTAATCTCGGATTACTGGCCGGTTACGGTGCTAAACCCATAGGGCCGGGTTTGGGTCGTGACAGAGTGGTATCAGAGCGATACTTACCACGAGTTATACCGCACACACGTGTCCAAATGAGCTATAGGGTGTCCTAGAAAGTAAGTAGGGCATCTCATGAGCATGATAAGTGTGTGATATGACTGACTGAATATATGCTAATGTGTTAAACTGTTAAACAAATGACTGCTTATGTTTAAAACTGTTATAACTGCTTATAGTGAAATGGATAATGCAAACACTGCAAACGAAACTGAAACCTCATCCTCTAAGGCCAGAATGGCCAGACTGGAACAAATGATGGAACTGATAACTGCAAGACTGGACCAACAACTGAATCAACATCCCCCACCTCCTCCTCCAGTCGTACCGGAACAGAATGTGAATGTAAATGATGGGGACATAATTGTTCTCACCCAGAAGTTCAGCAAAATGAAACCGCCATCCTTTCAGGGAGGCCTTGAACCGTTAAAAGCTGAAGCTTGGGTTCTGGAGACTGAAAAATTGTTTGAAGTTTTCCCGTGCTCTGAAGCACACAAGGTACTGTTAGCCACCTTTACATTGCAAGAAGAAGCTAGAAGGTGGTGGATGCTCATCCGTGATGAAAATACCGTTCTGACTTGGGCTCAATTCAAAGGAGCCTTCTTTGAAAAGTACTTCCCTCAGTGTGTTAGGGACAGAAAAGTAACTGAATTTGAACAGCTGAGACAGGGCACAATGTCCGTTGCTGAATATGAAACGAAGTTCATCGAGCTTGCTAGATATGCACCGCATATGGTGGATACTGATTGTAAGAAGGCCAGAAAATTTGAAGGCGGCCTGAATGTTGCAATTCTCGACAGAATAAATGTGCTGAAGCTACCGAACTATGTGAATGTTCTTGACAGAGCCTTGATGGCTGAATCAAACATTGAAGCACTGAAAACTAAAACACCAACGTCCGAATGGCGTGGGAAAAGGCAAGGATTTAAATTTAAGAAAGGCAAACATAGTCCATTAAACAAGAAACAAAACACAGGGTCAACGACTACGTCTAGTCAAGGAAACCGTACGATACCGCCCTGTTCTAAGTGTGGCAAAAATCACAAGGGAGTTTGTTACAAATTATCAGGAGCCTGTTACAGGTGTGGCAAGGTGGGCCACATGGTTAAAGACTGTCCCTCTGCTCCACAAGCTAGTAGTAAAGCTACACCAAGCGTAGCGGCATCAACTGTTACACCAAAACCGAACCCCAAAGCTACCGGGAAAGAGCCTAGGAGGCAGGGCCGAGTGTTCGCCCTAGTACCGGGAAACGTCCAAAATACCGAGACCGTTGTGTCAGGTATTCTCTCTATTTGTACTCAGGATGCTTATGTACTGATTGATTCGGGGTCTACGCATTCTTATGTGTCCCATGCTTTTTCGCGTAAATTGAATAGACCCTTAGAACCTATGAATTATCTGTTAGCTGTATCATCACCCGTTGGGGGATCTATGACCTGTGCATACATGTACCCTGCTTGTGAAATCATTGTTGGAGATGCACATCTGTTTATTGATTTACTGCCATTGAACATTGATCATTTTGATGTAATACTGGGGATGGACTGGTTAACGAAATATCATGCCACCATAGACTGTGTAACGAAACAAGTAGTTTTCCATCCACCTAGTCTACCTGAATTTGTGTTTAATAGGGTTGGAGTAGTACCTCCCCCGTATCTGATTTCATCTGTGAAAGCTGTAAAATTGATTAGAAAGGGCTGTAAGGGATATCTGTGTTCTGTACTGACTGTATCTACTGATGATAATGCTGATGTGAACTGTATTCCTATAGTCAGAGAATTCCCAGATGTTATTCCAGATAATTTGCCAGGGGATTTGATTGACAGGGAGATTGAGTTTACTGTTGATGTGATTCCTAGAACACAACCAGTTTCTAAAGCTCCGTACTGAATGGCTCCAACTGAACTGAAAGAACTGAAAGTGCAACTGCAAGAACTGTTAGACAAAAAGTTCATCAGACCCAGTACCTCACCATGGGGTGCGCCTGTTTTGTTTGTAAAGAAGAAAGACGGCTCACTGAGACTGTGCATTGACTACCGTGGACTGAATAAGGTAACTGTAAAGAATAAATACCCATTACTGCGTATTGATGACCTGTTTGATCAGTTACAGGGTGCTAAAGTATTTTCGAAGATTGATCTCAGATCCGGATACCATCAGTTGAAAGTTAAATCAGATGACATTGATAAAACTACTTTTAGAACGAGGTATGGACATTACGAATTTTTAGTTATGCCTTTCGGAGTTACCAATGCACCTGCTGCATTTATGGACCTTATGAACAGAATTTTTAAACCATACCTTGACAATTTTATTGTTGTATTTATTGATGACATATTGATTTACTCCAAGAGTATAGAAGAATATGAACATCATCTGAGATTTGCCCTACAAACCTTAAGAGAACAGAAACTGTATGCTAAACTGTCTAAATGTGAATTTTGGCTTGACCATGTTATGTTTTTGGGGCATGTTGTTAGCAAAGATGGAATTTCTGTTGATCCGCAGAAAATCGAAGCTGTTGTGAACTGGCCTAGACCAACAAACGTGACTGAAGTCCGAAGCTTTTTGGGTTTGGCTGGATATTACAGAAGATTTGTCAGAGATTTCTCCAAAATTGCTTTACCGTTGACTCAACTGACTCAGAAGGGGATATCATTTGACTGGACTGACCAAAGGGAATTTGCCTTCCAGGAGTTGAAAACTCGATCAGTGACTGCACCGGTCCTTACCTTACCTTCAGGTACGGATGGTTACACTGTATTTAGTGATGCTTCTCATAAGTGTTTGGGATGTGTTTTAATGCAGAATGGGAGAGTAATTGCCTATGCTTCCCGACAACTGAGACCGCACGAAAAGAACTACCCGACCCATGATCTGGAACTTGTTGCAGTAGTATTTGCACTGAAAATCTGGCGTCACTATCTGTATGGGGTGACATGTAAAGTGTATACCGACCATAAGAGTTTAAAATATTTCTTCACACAGAAAGAACTGAACATGAGACAGCGGAGATGGCTAGAACTGATTAAAGACTATGACCTACAGATTTTGTACCATCCGGGAAAAGCCAACACCGTTGCCGATGCA